CACCTTAACCTTGGTTGGGAGAAAGAAGGAAGAAAAGGATGGAGGTGGAAGAGGAAGGCATAGGAGAACAAAATGGGGCTTTTGGGAGGCTTCTGAAGGCTTATCCAAGCTTCCACTGACGAGAGAAAAAAACTTGGTTGGGAAAATGCCATGTGGTAAGTAAAATTAGAATAATTGAGTTATGGTCATTCAACTTCTACTTAATTTTACTTAAAGCTCCTAAACTTTAAATTTAATCAATTTAGTCCCTAAAACTATAAACTAAAGGACACTAATTCTTAAGTTATTCACTAAGGTATGTGGGGTGTTACAGTTGCATGGTCATCTTTGGGATGTCAGTTGTGTGCTGGCTTCGGGGGATCTTATTACAATTCCTGCTTTGAGGTATCAACCTAATCCAAATATGCAGCTGAAGTTTAGATACAAACTAATTGATCACTGTCTTTAAGTTTTGACTATGCAGAGTTACAAAATCATTTTGATCTTAGCTAGGGAGTGTAATCTCATCAGAATAAACTTGAATAATCTCTCATGTTGTTTGTCTTTATAACCAGATGATGCCTGAACAACCAAGCTTTGAGAGGAGGAGAGATCTCTATCTGTTGTATCATTACTTGAATCATTACAATCTCTTTCCCATGCAAATAAGAAAGATTCTAAGTGAATAAAGGGACGATGAATGATTATTTTTCATCTAGTTAGTTAAAAAGACAAAAAATAACAAAAAAAAGTAAAAATCAAAATGATTTATCATTAAAAATATTAAGATCTTTAATTTTAAACATATAATGAATGAGAATTAGGTGAATTTTATGTTATATATCACTCATCATATAGTTTTAATTAAATGTCTTTAACATTTTTTAAAATCAAACTGTCTTAATTTTTTACATTCTTGCACGAGTGGTGTGGTGAGCTTTAGACCAATTATGGGCATGAAATCATTACTTTAAGTAATGGATCAATTAAGGCCAATCAAAATTGAGCCATTTGGTTCAATTGGCTGGGAATCATTGAATGTTTTACTTACCCCACGTTCAATCAAGACAAAACCCTTCTTAAGTCATCGACAAAAACCCTTCTTAAATCTTTAAATTTATCTCAAAATAACATTTAAATTCTTAAATTAAAAATAAAGCAGATAAATCCTTTAACTTCATTAATGATACAATTAAGCTCTTCTCATTTATGGATATTCATGCTTTCACGGTTATATTAAACATGAAATACCATTTGGCCTCTTTGTGAAAAGGACTTTTTTTCATTGTTAGTGGAATTGTAGGGTTAATCTGCTTCATATTTAGTTTAGGGGCTCAATGTTATTTTGGGGTAAGTTTAATGGCTTAAGAAGGGTTTTTGCCAAGTTCACCTACAACAACATCATCCTCCACTACTTACTAATTTATTATAACTCGAAAATCGAAGTTTCTTTTTTGTTTATTGAATGAAGATGAGACTGGAAAAGCTCCACATTTTGTTCGCAGAAACAAGCGGGCATGATTTTAGGGATCTGCCGAAGATCCCAGACAAAAGAATAACATACATCCTAAGCCGAACGGATATCC